CCGACGAAACGGAAAAAGTATGAAATATTCCTTCCCGAAATATTAACGTCGTTGTTATAAGGACGAAGGAAGCAGAAATAAACATGGGGTACGTTTTTTTTGCAGTGAGCTTGTTATTAATGCAAAAATTGGTATGATAAAAAAACTGGTAAAAAGGTATAGAAGTTTTTGTTAGTTCGTCGCGACCTCTACTTAAGAGTGTAATACTCAACAATATATATATTTTTTTAAGGTTTTTGAAATTTAAGTTGGTAAACCAAGTAAGTTTTTTTATATTTGTTAATAACACCTACTACCTATTTGAATATATAGATACTGGGCCCTGCGAAATAAACAAATCAAAAACAATAAACAATTCACAGACGGTATCTATGGAAACGATTGTCCGTCCGTCTCGACCCAATCGCGTCCGCACCAAATACGAATGTCTTTGATGTATGGGGCACAGCCGACGTTTATATTCGCTAAATAAAATATCGCCTTTCCAAATATATCGTTTATACGAGAAATGTTTTACGATTTCAATAGAACGCTAAAATAGCATTGTTGGTGGGTTTCCATGCGAACAATTTATGGAACGCACAAAAGATCTAATATCCAGTACTCAAAGGCATATCAAAATAATAAAAATATATACCACATTTAGATTTAGCAGTTAACGCGATGCTTGGAATGTTGAAACATAAGGATGTTGAGGTAATGGAGTTGGGAATATTGAGAATTATAATAATTAGAATTCAATAGTCCGTAGAAATAGTTTTAATAGTTTTCCTTCTAAAATACAACACTTTTCATTTCATAACAGATTAAACTGAAAGCATTGAAAAGAAACGCTTAAACGCCTAGTGCAAGCTTATCAAAAGCTTGTCTCAGTCTATTCCGCCTCCACTTTTCCACTAGATGGCGTTGATGTCACAGTGTAATAGAATAATTTAATAAGTTCTCAGTGAGCGTTATCGGCTTAACTTAAAGCTATTAGTATAATTAATACCTTCTGTGGGGATCTTGGCAATTTTGAATAAAATTTAGAATAGAAACAGGTCCGTTGAGTCATTGGCTCTCGAGAACGGCGGAATTATTAGATTCTTCCACATTTTTTGCGTGTTTAAGAGCAATTAAGTTAATTAAGCTTTCGGAACGTGCATTTACAAATTAGCTTTTTGGAAATAGGAAGAAGAATTAAAAATCGATAACATAATTAATTACTTAAAAATCTGTTGAGAAATAAATAATAGTGTATTAGTAAGTAAAAAATAAAGTTGTGTACGTTACTACGTACACAAGTTTATTTTTCCTTTTTAGGAACTTCCTGCGAAAAAATCTAAAAATTCACTAATAAGAGCTGATTTTAGTGAAACGGGTCGCAATCAAAAGCTAGGTTAGGGTTTAAATTTTCACATAGCCTGTCCGGTATTCAGCCTAGCAGTTAATAACGAATTCCTGACAGCGATAGTCTATACATTCGGCAAATATTTGATACGGAAATAATTAAAACGCAGAGGTTGGTCGTTCACAATTTCTCTATTGAATAAATAAATAATAATAAAATAAAATCGTGATGACCGTAGGAGTAAAAACTTCGAATATTCGAATGCATACATAGCAGCACGATTGTTCAAGAGAATTTTATACGGCAGAACGATAAAGGAAAATAATACATTATATTCTTCAGAAGTCAGAAAAGCACCTCTTGACGAGAGCTCTTCACTTCAAAATTATCAACAGATCCATTAAATTGCGAAGAGCAATTTGTCTAATTTTTAGCAACAAATACTTGGCGTAGAAATTATTCAGTGCGCAACACTTATGTCAGAATAAATGCTTAGTTAGATTTAATAAGAAGGTTATTTTACTTACTTAATTACTTTTTTAGGTTGAATCTTAATTAACCGTCAACTATTCTTTACCATTTCGTAAAATGATTTACGCAAAAGTAATCATGGGTCCTTCCATGCGTCACGCTGAAATGTAATGTAAGGCATTTTCGCTAAAACGCTAATAAATAAATTGAAAGCCGAAAATTGAAAAAAGTTCACCAGAATGAAGAGTGAAGAGCGTAAATTAAAGAATAATGAAAAAGTATTTACTGTATAAAATAAAAAGCGTCTTAAAATGGAATCGAATTCGTGTTTTCGAGTCACGTCCAAGTAATTTCGTTTGCCACGGTTTGCCGGTCCACTTTCTATGGAATAACACGACTCAAAATAGCGCCCTTCACGAAATATACTTTTCATTAAAAACTATATTAAGCTTTAAATCCTCAATAGCACTCGCTACTCAATAGTCAAATTGAAACAATATTTTTATGGGATATGTCATTTGACTTTAAAGCGCAAATTTCAAATGAACTGAAAAAACTAATGAACTTTGAAAATACACAACTTTACTATACAATTATAATGATTCGTATGACGCTGCACATTTTAATAAGCACAATTCGCTGAAAACATAATAATTGTACATCAAAACGAGCCGTTCCAACAAATAATATTTAATGTATTATGAGCTCCGACCGCAAAGTTACTGCTCTTCGTTGTATTTCACTACGTAATAATTTAAATAATATTATTGCCACAATTTTATTTCCTTTATCAGAAGTTAAGCAACGTTTGGCGACTAGCTTGGTTGGATAGGTAACAGCTAAATAACGCTACAGTTCAGCTAACTTTGTTTTTGAGCTAATAAATGCATAATATTAAGTATGTAGTTACAAAAAACAAGGGCGTATTAATTAATATGTAAAAAAGCTACAGAATATTGTAAAAAAAAGATTTTTAATTAAAATATTATTTACAAAAAGGAAATCGCATTTTATTTTAAAATACTTCATAATTCAGAAATGGAAGTACTATTCTTCTGTGAAATAGTTCTGAATCGCTTTCAGGGGAAAACGATGTTATGCTAAAATATCAAATTGAATCGTTTTACTATTTTATGAAGTTTTGATAAAATGTCGCTATTAACATTTTAGAGTATTCCCTTTTATTGTGGGTTAATTACGGGTTTTGAGTTTTAAAAATCTGGGTCGAGCGCCGAGTATTGTTAATTAAAATACGTTAAAGGAATTCAACCTAATTTGCTCCTTTCGCGTTTGAAACGAAATTAGTGCGATGACGTAACCAATAACACGTGCATCTAACGTGACTATTGCCATATCATTTAATAATTTCACTCATTATGCACCGCTAAGGTCGTGAACCCACCGATCCAGCCAATCTGAGCCATATAACGGAGGACATCGAGCTCAATCTCGGATGATAATTAATATTATGGCATTAGAATGGAGTGTACGGTATCATTCGGTTAATTTGCATATCTTTTGAAATCTTATGACAGCGATAATTCGGTTTTATAGAACTGCTATTTTAAATTTAGGACGTGTACACACAGACTCCTAAGTTAGACGTCGGCTTTGAGGCATTCTCTAATGTTCCTTTACCCAGGAATCGAAACCCGGACCTTTGTAAACGTAACGTGCGCTATATAACAAAAATATTAGTCACCCATCGAACTAAATACTATCGTAATAAACTATAGCTGTGTCACTGCTTTTAAGGAGCGATGTTATTAAAAGAACTTTTGAAATATAACCAACTACATTTTAAGTCGGGTGCTATTTAAATAACAAAACACGCTGAATTGCAAATAAGCTTAATAAACTTATACTTGATTTTAAATACAAAAATGCTTTTGAAGCCATTACATAAAAGCTTTTAAGCGGAGTAAAATTTTAAATGCTTATTATAAGAGCTATACTGACAAGAATCGTAACTTATACATAGTGTATATGTAAAGAACATACTTATTACTTTTACTTTGGCTATTTTGTTCGGTTTCGTATGTATCTTGAAACTTTTGAGGATCGTGTGTACGCCGCTTAAAGGATTTATTTTATGGTGGGTCGCGTATGTAACGACCATTAATTCTTCGTATAAAATTTTATTCGATCATAATTATTTGATTTTATCTACACCTACACGAGTGGATCGAAATATGATATCGTATAATTTATCGTTACCATTATATTATTTATTAGTTTACGTTTAGAAACAAATAACAAAGATCTAAAGTTAATGTTTTGCGATTTAGGAACAATCGAGTGAGGCAGATAGGCGTTGAGGTTTCCAAATAATATTAATTAATGATGAAGCATTTCTCTGCTATTAATGCAGAAACGGGGTGCGCCCTGAAACATGACGCTTATTTTTCAGAGCTGTCAACTTTCCAAACATTTCTAAAACGCACTGCTAATTGACATGAAATGCGTTCGACTCACGAGTGGAAACTTTTCTCCTAAATTCACTTTATGTTGAACGATGCGGGCGTGTTATATTGACTTTTACATTATTTTAAACGATGTTATTTATCGCTTTCAAATATTAGGTGTTGAATGACACGCCGGTAATGTATAGTTATCTGCTAAGTGTTCTTCTTTATGACTTATGACCGTTTTTGAAGAACTTTCTTCTTTTTGGTAACGAATAATATTTACGTCCACAGAGTTTTTTATTAAGTAATATATACCAAAGAATGTAGGTATATTATGATCAGTAAATGTGATTTTTTTTAATATTTTATTACGTTGTGTGTTAAAGATATAGTTACTATATTGTTCGTATAAATTGTTTTTATTGACTTTAGTAAAACAGACCAAAGTAGCAATGGTATAAGAGCGTTTAAATAAGACTTTTACTGGGCCTTAAAAAAATTAAGTTAATTTCTACCAATTGTCTGTTTATTTTACTTGAGTGGCGTTTGTGATATTGCGACCATTGCTTATTTATTTAAATGTTATCTGTGCAATCATTTCCTTGGCGACTTGAATAAACAGGGCACGCATTGTCCTCGACGAGATTTATTAACATACGTCCGATGCAATGAATGCAAATATCTGTTTCCCTGCATCGCTCGGTTACACTGCGTTTTGAGCGATGTTTATTCTCGATTCCGAACGACGTCGCAATAAATCCCACGATAACCCACAGTGGACCCGTACTCACCTAAAACTACCAGTATGAAACACAAACTAATGTACAAGATCATCAGGAATCTTTGGTAACTAAACTACACTTATCACGCACGACAATCATCGATTGTCGATATTTTATATCACAGTACACATCACTAGCTACACGGTTTCGGCCGCACTGCGATCCCATCAGGCCATCACTAGGCGTACACAATATTTTTTGTCTTCGAGTGCATACGGACAACTTTTTTCTTTACTAAAACTTTCGGTCATCGTGTTGCGCGGATCCTCTTCGGAGAGACCTCGTCCATCGCCGTCCGAGACCGCTTAGACACAGAACGACAAACTTATGAAACGATTAAAGTCAGTTGGAGTTGTTTAATTGTTGTATTGACGATAATTTTAAGAAAACGAGCGTCACAGGTCCGTCCCGCGCGACGATTGGGGAGCAACTGACGTGAAGTTCGTCGGGATTGGTGAAGAAGCAAGAATGCGCGGCGCACAGTTGCTTCACCGGCCGCGGTCGGGCGGTTACCCGGCGAGTACGGAGAGGTCGTTTCGCTCGAACCGTTCGCTTGGCGACGGCGACCTTCCGAAATGAGGTGGCTCGCATAACCAGAAAGACAGTCTTGCATTGTCGGCGGCGTCGCCCTCCGTCCCGGCCGCTTTCGTTTCACGTTAGGTAGGTACGCATTGTGGAAATGCATTCTCCGTACCTACGGGTTTCGTTAGGCCGTCCTTCTCTAGCGTGCGTTCAAAGAAAACAGGTAAAGATGCCCCGCACCGTGGCGACAAAACGCAGCATTTAGACCGGGAACAGTAATCTGTGATGTATTTTACGTCATCAAAATAACACGAAACCGCAGTCGACGGAGAGAACAAAAAATTAAACTCCACATAGGAGCGCAATAAATTCCCATAATGACCGCGTTTCATTGGTTTTATTCGAGTTTCGATTTGTATTGTTTGCGCTGTAATCGTTTAACTGAGTGTTGGCAAAATGGCGATTTTATTTAACACGCCAATTGGCAATCGGTTTAAATCCAGACTAAATTAATAGCGCGGAGAGGCGAAACAAAAATAGTGGCGATTATATAATTATCGGTCAATTCGAAAGGATAATTTCCTGTTAATAATACGAATATGATTTATTGCAATTTGCATATTCGACGCCGTCGCACTCGTTATTTGTCAATTGTATTTAAACATTTTCATGCGTAGACGATGAACATGGTGCGTCGTGTTCGCAAAATTTAAATTACGAATTACCTTTTATTTTAAAGCTCTAGGTACGAATTTAAACGATAATTCTGTAAATGTACGTAGTGAAATAAAGCTAATTTAAGTCGGACCGAAAATGCAGATAACAAAAGAAATATTTTCGACGCAACTGCGAGGGTATCTTCATCAATAAATTGTGCCGAATCCCGAACCGATATATTCTGAGCTCGGACGCAATTCGGGACGCACTGAATATTAAACTTGTTGACGAGACAGCCCAACTTCAAATCGTCTCGCTTTAGACCCTAGCACAAGAGGCGGCCGGACTATTGTACGTATCCCGTATTGAGGTTGAGGAGTGGAGCTGTTCGCTTTAATTCCTGCTGCTTTCCGCTAAAATTCGAAATTCCGTTCGATCTCTGTTCATCAGCCCGACTAGCCTATGTAACCACTTGTCGCCGGGCATTCAATAGAAGAGCCCATTTATTTCTCAAAGGCTGCCTGCGAACGAGATCTCGACGCCTTCGTACGTCGCCAACCATTCTACGCAAGTCTATGCTACGCCTCAGTCGGCTCCGGGACTATTTTACTTAAACGATTCCTTCGCAAGCTTTGTTTTCGACATAAAACTTTATATTCAGACATTTTATCCTCATTCATATAATAATAAAGTATTTTCGCTCGAAACTTCTATTTCACCCTTTTAAGACGATCCCTAACGAGGAAAGCCACTAAACAATTCTCCCTAAAGAATTGTTTCGCAAAACATAAATGTAAGGAATTTTAATTTTTGTACTTTTATAGGAGTTGGGGCGTCACTTACTTAATTTCGTAAGTTATGCCTGATTCTTGTAAAAATAGAAAGTGTATTATTACAAAATTATCCAAACTCAAGAAAACATTATCGTCGTTAAACGGCAAGTAGGTACTTTAAGCGAAGTGTAAGCGAAGAAGTTTTTGTATATTGTGAATAGATTTTAAGTAAAAACATGTTTATTATTTACAACACTTTATGCCATGAATCAATGAGTAACCATGAGTAACCACTCACAATTCTGTTTATTGAAAAATGTACAGTTAGCGTTCTATGCGAAACTTTAATAAGTGTTAATACACAACTATTTTAACAAATTAAAACCGACTTTCTGTGCTTCTCGATGCTGTTGCAAAACATTAATTCAATCAAAAATTCAAACCGTACCTAATCCCGAACAGATATTGAAAACACAAATATTTCACGGTTTACAAAAACCAAAACCGCTCGCTCGGAAACCATTCCATTAGTTTTTGTCAATGTTATTACATAATACGAAAAAGTTATTTTGCCAGCAGTAGTTTAAATATTCAAGAGCGAAACGTTTATATAATTTTATTTATTTATTTTTAGTTTAGAAGTTTTATAATGCTCATAGCTAACGGAAAATACTTTGTCACACAAATAATTATAAAAAACATTAACCACACAAATTAATAGGACATAAAAAGAAATTAATAACTACAGCCTGCAGGCTTGAAAAAAAATATGTAAGTAAATTAATTCTAATATGTACTTAAAAAAACAAATACGATTAAAGGTATACTTTTATATGAAAGAATATCGTACTTAGTCTTACACCAAGAAACATATTCAAAGTAGTTATTTGAATCGGACCCTACGGCAGAGCAGCAAAAAATGACAATAGCAGGTAGCGGAGAGCGGACCCTTGCTAATAGAATATCGATCGTAACTCGCATAAAATTAGCTAGTGCCACGTGAAATCCGCGTGTCTAATCTTCCTGCGAGGGCAACACTCGGCGAATCGATGTATTGATAGCGAACTTCTATTTAATACGGAGCGGAGCTGCGAAGTATATCTTTGCTTAGAAAGTTACTCAGCGTAAGCTGTAAGCCCTACAAAACATGTCTGTTATATACATGTATATGTACACATGGTAATTATTATATTATGTGTATCATCGTATGTATAGATTATGGTATAAATTTTCAAGGTCACGTGGTATGCTTGGTTTTATTTGCATTTGATCTGGTACCGCCAATGTCCATTGGGGTAGGTAAAACTTAACTTCAGGTTATACCATAATAACATATTGATTTTGTGTCAGGAGGCTTTATTCACTATGCGCTGAATTAAAGCAGAAACGTGAAGCTTAGCACTGTTTTGACTTCACGCTTTTTCATCTATCCAAAAGCATGACTCCACGCCGGTGGTTTCCAAAAAAAGAAATCGATGTCAGTAGCACCCGATGAATGCTACGCAACAAATTGATATCAAAATGATCACTTATGTTTTTTTATGGAACCAATATACTATTAAAATGTACTGTAAATAAAATATTCCTAGTTCCCATAGCGAGTACAACTTTCTATGAACTATTAGATACGAGGCTCTCTCGACTAGAACTTCCAAAGTGGGTCAAAGAATTGTGCGTTCGGAACTTTTCAAATAACACTCGTCCGTATATTAACATTTTTGTATGAATTTCATTTAATTAAACATGTATGTAACTAATTAGTCTTTCATACGGTGCAGTACGAAGCGGCTGCGCCTTTTGAGCGGCTTAGTTTGTACAATTTGGTTCCATGAATATTTTATTCGTAACTCGGTTTTGACAGCTCGGCAAAGCGTGACCTGCGAGCTGGGAACGATCTCTTTCAAAGTCAAGTTTAAAGGAACAACATGGCTCTCTTCTATTTCGACTTAATGGAATTTTTAGAAAGTAAAATCCCTATTCATGCCTTCGCTTATTTATGGTTGCATGTTTAGTGGCTGCGCGCAACGGCACAGCACATAATGTTAGCCAGAAATTTAATCGCTAGATATCACTGTAAGGTGAATTAGTGCAACTTCTTACTATCAGCCGAGCTCGCTTAATAAGCCGAAACATCAATCCCCTTCGGTGTGGTTGAAATTAAAAAATAGCGAACGAGTTAAGGCTGTTATCAAGATTAATGATTCGCTCATTTGATACACAATGTTACACCTACGCCACAGTATATGGATCATTGCAGTGAAACATATTTTTTTAAATGCAGCTTTCTTGTGATGGTGGTATCATCAAATGCTACTTATATTTCAACTTTATTTTACTTTTACTTTGGTACACGCACAAAATAAGAAAATATATGACTCTCTCTAGACATTAAATGACATCGACATATCTTTATAAAAAAAGAATAAAATAAGTAGAGTTATATACTTGCAGAATCATTAGCGATTTCTAAAAATGGTAAAATTTTTGATAAACAACGTTTTTGTCACTAAATTCGTAAGTAAACTGTGTAATGTATCGTGGGCCGATACACCTGCGGGGTTGTTTATTAAAACAAGAACAGAACACGCAGCGCTTGAAACGTAATCACTGTATTATTATTCTATACTTTATACGTACAGACGTTTCAAAATATTTGTGTATGACAAAATGGGCTCCCGAGACTCTTACGCTTGTCACACATTTCCATTTACATATGTAACATATTAATTCTGTCATTCTTTTTGTTTTACTAGCTGTAGAATAGTTATCAAAAAATTAAAAAAAATCCTCTTCTTTATAATTTAAGCTGTTACCCTCGACGTCAGCCGCGTGCCGTCGTTCTTGCAAGTCTTCTCAAGTTAATCTTAAAAGATTAGACGTAAAGTTCTCGGACATTTTTCTAGATCATGTAAAGAGGAATCATTCTTTTAGACATATTTTTGGGTATCTTTAACAGTTTTCAAAGTGTACGCAAAGGAAACTCTTAATTTTCCCAGTTTTTTCTCCATTGGCCACTACGTCGCTCTCTAACCAACACAATTTTTTTTCAATTCGAAATGTAGTTCTTGAGATTAGCGCGTTCAAACAAACAAACTCTTCAGCTTTAAATATTAGTATAGATATAGATGAGCCGATCTCAACAAGTAGTAGAGTGGAACACTTTCGATGTCCCAGCGTAGGATCGCTCTGTGTAAAAAATAAGCAGGTGTGCGCAAATCGTAATATTTTTTTCTGCATCTCGAGATTATTGCGAATTCACGAATGGCGGAGCGCACGCGATCGCATCTGCTAATAAACACTATCGCCGGCCAAATGTTGCCGCCAGTTGCTGTACTTAGCTTTAATACATACTTACAATACGACTCTCCAACTGAAAATTAACTCTTATACATTTTATCACTGAAAGTTACATTGCCTCAAAGCTATTAAGTTCCCTTTTGCATAGTACAGACACATATTAGTGTCTATTTTATTGATATATTCTTATTTATAGAAATAAATAGTTGATTCTGTGCTCTACTTGACTGAATATTGCGATTCGAATCCAGTTCCTTCTTTTAATATTTATCAATGAATTCATAACGGAGGCACTACGATAACAATATCAACTCTAGAGCGCGACTCAATCTTAGTGTATGAAATCGATTTTTCATTATTTACTGTCCAATGATCGCTCTCAAGTTCCTCATAATTTCTCGACACTCAAATTAGTTTGAATGACAAAATAAACGAC